TATCTATATTTGAAATTGAGGTCAAAGTCCGAAGATTTGATCAACTGATTGAAATCTCATTTTAAAGAGGTGAAGAAGTGAATAATTACAGGAGCAAACGTGATCAATGGTTCGAGGTCTCCCGCAAAGTAGTCGCTACGCTCCTACTTTGCGCTGCCTTCGGCAGAGGAGACCTCGAAAAAAGTCACACATGTAAGATGAGATTTACTTGTGACATCACTGGTCTATAAACATCAACAACATAGCAACAAATACACAGTTGCTAAGAGTATCCATGCTTATTCTACAAAACTAAGCTGTGACGTCATAACGATGGAGCTTTGTTGCCTCGTTCACAATATTGTTATGACGTCATAACAATTGAAAGATGAAGTTCCATTGATTTGAAGCTATTTTCACTCAGTTTGATCAAGGGAAAGATCAATACCCGGTGATTTCAGCGGGAAGTGGCGTTTCGTTCAGTGGATGAGCTGCGCGCGCACGTATAAATGTGATTATCCAATATATTTAGGGGAGGGCTATTTGAAATAGTTTTGGTCTCAGGCGCGACCCAGGGCTGTTGTCTTAAGGACATTTCGTTGAAAATGAGCCATTCGGCTGATAATTGGTAAGAGTTTGCGATCTTATAATGTATAACTGTTACTCAGACACATATTTTGACACGATTCTGTTGGAAATAAGCTTTGAACCGAGAGATATTCACGATTGATATGCACATTTTTGATTGTGCCATTGCTTTTCCATTGCACAATCCATGTATTGATAGAAGTAACATTAATAATGCAAATTGGTTTACCTTCAATACATGGCAGACACTACATATCGGTCTATTAAATACCAGTTTGTGCCTTAAATAGTTTTCCATTCCACGGCCTGGAGCCTGGGTGTGTTTGTCTTTTATGTGTATGCTTGTGCATGGACTTCTAATCACTAGCAGAATTTAACATGATGCAAACTCGACATTATAACTCATGCTGTAACATTTTTACTTCGCTGGAAAACAATAGAAATTATTTTTCTTGCCAATCAATCATGAATCACAATCAAAATTTCAGAATGATCAATCAGGCAATGGTCCAAATCAAGTGATAACATTATATGATATTCAGCAAGAAGTCCGGTAGAAATACAGAATATTTAAACATCAAAGCTGAAAGTTAAAAGCTAATCTGTCAATTTTCTGTCTGCAAAAGAGCGTTTACATTTGACACAATAACAGACTGAAGCTTTGAAATCTAGGATTCCCCAGGAAAATATGACGTCATACTAATTAGCATAAGGATTTCCCTATTGGACTGGGTCAAGCCTTGTTCGAAAACACAATCCATAAATACATGCTAATTTCTAAGGAGATGGGAAGTGTATAACGTGTTTATCGATTTTGTTTAACGATTTAATCAATTATCAAATTGTTTAAGTGGATAAAGTGGTCACACTTGCTTCAATTCATAGCGTAATCGACGGATGGAAACTGACCGAATTCCCGATATCCTACCCCGTATTACTGTAGGCTATTAAGCACAGTGACCTACAGAGGGCGCTATCACAAACAAGTACTGCACGAACCGATAAATTCCCGGGTATTGTAACGCCCTTGGTTTGATCATAAAAATATGAAAACATGGCATAATACACAGTCATATGAGAAAAACTTTCTTGTACTCGTACCTGTGCAATATAGTCCATTCTTGACTCGCTTTGATAATGTTTCTTTATCTCGTCTGCGACTCGATAAAGAAGAATTATCAAAGCTCATTATCTTGCACAGGTACTCATATGAGAACCTCTCTATCTTGATTTAGAAAGATCTGCCGCGGAGTTGGGCGTTGGCTGAAGGTTGCTTTGTTCCCATAGGGTTAAGGGAGATATCATTGCTGGACTATGAACTTGAAATATGGGGGTAAAATTTTAACGTCCATATCGACTCTGACTGTACATATGTTGTGTATGGTGATTCAGAATGTCAAGTCAGAAAAATCCGAATGCACCATTACTAGATTGCTAGTGTTTCATTGAAATGTTATATGAAGACAACGTGAACTCAAAATATTTTTTTTGTTCCTCACAGAAAACAGAAAAGATATGGGGATGTTTGTGAAGCCCCATTGAAATAAACAGTAGTCAAGCTCGCCATTACGCAGCCTAAAACTAGTCTTTACGTACTACTTGTATAGTGCGACTTGTTCATAATAATGAGATATTTAATAAAATGTGTTTTGTTCTGCGGGGTTTGATACTCAATGGAGTTTTTCTAGTAAATTGTAGTCTACTTTATATATTTACACGAATTAGACTAGATGCGAGTATAAATGATCTTGATATACGTCATTAAATATTCAAAATTCAGTCAAAGTGATGTCATATTTGAAATCTACATGTAAAGATACATCTAAAAATATGGTTTCGAAAATTGTTTATCAACTTTGAAAATTTAATATTTTTTGAAAATGTGACTTCTAGTTCGGGTTGATTCCCCATAGACCCCATATTACAAAATCACAAAAAGTGAAATATATTTTCTTGTATTGGACATATAACATTTTCTTTTACTGGACATACTTTAATTTGCATAACTATTCGATACATAAGGGCTATATGAAAATTGAACCACTTAAACCTATGTAATTTAAGTTAAAGGGAACTTTCTACCATACCCGCTATGCTATCTAACCCGAGCGAGCCACCTGGTGGTGAAACTGGTAACTACCTACTCGCATTTGCGTTTTTGAATTTTAAAAGCTAGATTAACTCAATTTCCAATTCATAACGTGTCGCCCTTAATATAGATTAAAATAGATCGAAATTGTTTGTAAACCAATGAAAAATAGTGAATCAAGCAATCCACTTTTTAGAAAAAATTGTGTGAGATAAGTGAAGTGACATTATCGTTTCTAATCAAAATGAATTGATTAACAAATTACACTTTTATTTAGAACCTAAATAATGGCACACGTGTTCATAAGTTAAATAACTTAATATTCTGTTCGAAAAATAAGTTAAAATTTAAACAATTTATCATACTGATTAAAATTGAAATAATGATAAATCTTTATCTAGGGATGCATTTTTATAGAATTGTTTTTCTCATTAAATAAGCAATGGTTAAACAAAAAAGTTTCAATAATAAAAAGGTTTTCGAACTTAAACGCGTACACCAGCGATTTCGAGAATTGCCAAGGTTTTGCAGAAAGGTGTATCACATGCACTTTCTATGTTTGCGTATCTTGCAACGAATATCTTAGACCAGATGATATATCTATGCACCAGGTGAAGACATGACTTGTATTTAGATGAGATAATTGCCGACATATTGCACGAAATGCCATAATCCGACTGACTCACAAAAATCGGTATGTATGGCTAGTGTTTTCTATTTTTTTATAAATGAAAGATCATTTATCGTGTTGTGTAAAGTATGAGGGATTATGTATCATGCAGAATAATATTTTTTGTAAGACGACTGGGCATACAGTACAAGCCTGACTTTTGCATTTATTTTGTTTTTGGTTACTAATTTCTGAAATGCGATCTTCCTAAAGGTCCAAGGACACACATTCGATCTATTTAGTCCCTGGATACACAAAAGCCCTATTTACACCACACGCGCCATTTCAAGACGTCTTAGCTAAAACGTTTTAGAAAAATCATGTTGAGTTTACACCACCATTTTCAAGACGTCTTACGAAATATGATTGAGTATACACCTGTTTTTCTAAAACGTCTTAGAGATATGTAGGCATACATGTAAAATGAAAAAAGCAGTTCAGCACTGGTTGAAGGATGGTTCAGTCAACATAGCTATTCCTTTCCCGCTATTATACTTTCTGCTAAAGAATGCATCGGTTTCAAAAAATGTCCTAAAGAGAGCATTGTTAAAAGCATAAAAGAGGGCAGGGAGATTTTGTGCATATATTAGGATTATGATAGAACGCTAGGCGAATTACTTCTTTTCGATATTTTTTGGATGATATTGGTAACAAAGGGATGAGACAAGAGAAAGGACCATGCTACACATGTAATCAGGAAGTTTCAAATTTTTCGATAAGCGCAACGCATAAAACCGGGCTAAGAGCTCTTAGCTAAAACCGATGGATTTACACTCGCTTGTAAAACGTTTTAACGCTAAGACGTCTTGGCTATGACTAGGGTCCTAAAACGTTTTAGCTAAGCGCTCTTAGCCGAGAGCTCTTGAAAAAATCTGGATTTACATTACATTTGTAAAACGTTTTAACGCTAAAACGTTTTGGCCAAGTAGTAGACAAATAGTTAGGCTGGTAATAATGTCTTACACATTCGTTAAAAATATTTCACGATAGATAAGTTATTCTAAAGAAACAAGGTCATTTTCTTTTTTAAGAAAACAAGCCATATTCATATTTATTATTCTGAAACCGATGTAAAATTTTATTAAGTATCAATAATTGATCAATTGCTTTTCCAGAGTATTTGATATGACATATAAAAAACAGTTGGGCCTCATTCTGGGCGGAATAATAATCGGAGTTTTGATTTGCAATATACTACAGGGGAATCATCATGAGGAAAAAAATCCTTTTGATGTGAACATGTTATCAAATGTTCATGAAGGGGAAATTAGGCATGTTAAATGCAACAATCAAGATGAATCAACGGAGGTCATCAGAAATGCTAGAACTATCGCAAATAAAACTGATAATGGCATTGTCGCTGTGACGATGGTGAATGAAGCGTATCTAGAAATGACTTACAGTTGGTTATGTAACACTGTCAATATGAATGTTCATGAACAAGTGCTTATTATTGCCACGGAGGAAATGACATTGAAGAAACTGCGACGAGATTGGCCAAACGTCACCTCCGTTTTTTACACGATTTCAACGACTGATGTGACCGGACATGCAAAATATGTTTGGAAATTGTTCCATAGGGCTTTGTTAGCACATTCATTGCTCAGAAATAACGTAAATATCCTACTGTTCGAGGTCGATGCTATGTGGTTCTCATCTCCTTTTCCTCTACTTCGATCACTATTCCATTATGATCTAGTCGGGGCCCAGCTTTCTACAAGGACTCGCTACATAGCCCCAGGCTTTATTTTTGCACGGCCAACCATTGCGTCGCGAGATGTATTCGAGTGCGTAAAAGACAACTTTTTGAATGGACACTATATTGCAGGTGATGACAATATCTCACCCGACTTCAATTATCAAACATATCTTCATGATGTTATTGTTTCACATCACAATCTCAGATACAAATTATTGGACTCTAACATTATTGAAGATGGGCTGTGGTACCTCCAACTCCATACTACTGGTAATTCACATTGGCTGCCACCTGTTGTTTTGAACAACAACTGGATAATTGAAAGGGACGTGAAAATTGCAACAGCTAAAGAGTTCGGACACTGGTTCCTCGATAAAACCAATTCTTGCGACTGGAAAAATGTTAGAAAAATAACTAAACAATGGTCATATAGATGATTTAAGTTACCACACGGTATATATCGAGGAGTTAATTAATAGTACCATGCTAGTTGTACCATATCTCGTTATACCATTCAGAATCATTGTTATACATATCGGTCGATAAGTAAAGTAAATTTTGTTCTAAAACCTCGATCTTGCAAGATCTATAGTCCACAACAGGAGTACCATGAGATCTGTACCATGATGCTAAACATCCAGAAGATTTGGCATGATTTGTTAATATTTGACAATATAGCGGTTGTCACAGTCACTTGAAGTAGGGTTAAGCGGAGCATATCGCAACGTCACAAATTATAAAAAAGTAGTCACTCTTTTTGCAAGATTTCTGATCAGTTTATCTTTTCAAACAATTTCTTTTGACCAGTCATTACATTTCTCACTTGGTGAAATCAATAAAATAATATATAAAAAGATGTTTTATTTTCGGATATTTGTGTAAAAAGATGCGTAATAAACAGTATTTCCATTCAGTATTGAAATCATTATATCATATTATGAAGGAAAAAATATATAATCAGCATAATATACTCTATTATATAGAGATTAATATAATATAATTAGAAATGAGTGAGATCCAAATATATTATTTGTACATATAAACATTTACCAAATCCGATTATTTCAATAAGAAAATGTAGCAGGGTGTTTTATTCCCGGTGTAATATTCTTTTTTAGAATTATTTGCGCCAATTTATATTTATTCTGTCTTTCCAAAATATTATTTGGTCATATTTATCAATCCAAACCGATGATTGCAGTTTATTTAGAATCATTTCTATCCTAAAAATATTATTTTCTAGTATTTTCCAATCTAAACAGAATATATCAAATTATTTTGTATTATTTGGGTTCTAAAAAATATTATACGCAATTGTTCTTGTCCAACTTGATGTACAATGGTTAATTACTTAACCAAACAAAACAAAGAATGCACAGCATGGCAGTTAATAGGATCAACCGTTCTACTGGCCTTCTCATCTCCATTACTTACAAATGTCACACATATTTTATTTTGATTGTTCTATTTCTTTTTGAAAAATATTTACAAAATAAATATTAGAAGAAAGAAATTGCAACTTGATTTAAATTAATTTTAACAATGGAGTAAATATGTGAAGAAAAGTCATCAATTAAAAATCAAAAAATTGACTTTCCAATGAGTTAATCGATTCAATCCAAATTTTAACACAATGTTAATCACAGAAAGAGGGACACTATACAATCAAATCAATATGAAAAACCTAATTTGCAAATTACTATTTTTGTGGAAATTAGAACAATCGGCTCTAGATATTAATCCATTTACTCTAACAAACGGATTAGTTATCAGTGAACAAAACTCATTTCCTAGAAATTGAAAAAACTTAGGGATTGAACTATTACTTATATTGCTCTGACATCAAAACATGTATGTGAATGGTGAAAATCTGCATGATTTTGAAAGAATTGTTGGTCAATGGGAGGGGATCGTTACTCGTTAGGTACGGGCCTTTATAAAATGCGTAATGTATTTATCTGAAATTTGAGTTGTTCTGTGTCAAGACTATTTTTTGTGGTTGCCAAAGTGAATACAGGTGGTTGTTTGTGCCTGTGTAAGAGGGGGCCTTAAATGTTGTTTGTTGTAAACTTAATGTGGCAGAGAAACAATGAAGTAAAAATGTGAGGAAACCCATTGATTAAAAATTAACTTTCCGTTGAGTCAATCAATTAAATCCAAATGTTAACACAATGTTAATCATAACATAAGGGACATTATACAATCAAATAAATATGAAAAACTTAATTTTCAAATTATTTTTTGTGGAACTTAGAAGGCTGTAGGAAATTACTACATTGCCTCTAACAAACGGATTAGTTATCAGTGTTAACGAATTCTCATATTAGAAGAAATTGAATAATTGGGGATTAAAGTTTTACTTATCATATTGCACTCAGTCTGACATACTGTATGTCAATATGTTATTTACATCAGTTTGTTCTATCATGCAACAATTTGCTCAAAGCATAATCATCGCTTTGTCAGATGAAACATTAGGAATAAATGTACAATGTGCCCGCTTCTTTATTTTCATTATCAAACAACTAACACACCGAGAAACGGGATTTACTAAACTGCAATAAGAAGAAATAACAAACATGGTATCTTAAACGGATAAGAAAACTTCAGATCGGATACTGAATAATAATTTTCCGAATTACGCGCCATCTATTACTAGTCAGAATCTAATGCACATTTTAGCTAATGCACATTTTAATTTTGATAAATCAGTCAAGTAAATAAATTCATAAGGTGTGGTCTGCCCCCCCCCCAATTCCAATCAACAAACATAAAAATTGTTTCATTGATTCCCACGAATCTTTCTTTGATCAATAATCTAGGCAAAGCAAATACTAATTAACTGTCTCATTGCGATTACATGTTTCTTACGCAAACAGGATACAGCACCGGGGAGATGATCTTGATTCACAGACTGGTTGTTTTATTCATATTTCACAACATTAGTTTTGTACTTTAATGTTACTGAAATATTTATCATTAATAATTTTAAATTATATTGGCAAGAAACTAGAAATCAAAAAAGCGGTACATAACTGGCATTAAAAAAGCGTTATATTAATACTTGATCATGAATTATAAATTGAAATGCAGCGTAACATTAACATACACGTGACACAGTTTTATCTTATATTAACAACTGTTAGAAATAATTGTTAAACAAGGAAAGGACGATTCTCGGTTTGGAGAATGAAGTTCATCAATCTAAATGAGCATTATCCCTGCTTTTGACAAATTTGATTTTTTTACATAATATAGATTTGAATGTCTTCTTTTAAATTGGCATAATTTAATTTGGGTAATATTTTTAGATTTTTTGCAAAAAAATATTAGCGCAGTTCACTAATGAACTTCTTTGCCCAAATCGAGACTTGTATTTTATTGAATCTGTCTAATTGAGCGTTATCCCTGCTTCAGACCAATTTGTTATTTTTACATCTTGTAGATTTAAATGTCCTCTTTTGAATATTCATAGTTTAATTTGGGTAATATTTCTATATTTTTCATGAAAAAAATTATTAGCCCAGGAGACTGTTCTCCAAACCGAGAATCGTCCTTTGTTTCTCTTGAACAGTTGAGTATTTTAAAAACTATTTTAACAGTCATTTTCAGATTATGCATGATTCCAACGATTCAATATCACCGATCAGTAATCTAAACAAATACTCATTAACTGTCTGAACCAAGGTGAGATGTTAATCCAATCTCCGAGCCTTTCGTCCAGTGCAATCCGTACCTCCTTTGCCTTATCTCATGCAGTTCTTTAAATTCCCGCGAAATTTACCCTTCTAAATATTTTGACCTCTTTCAAAAAATATATTTCTTTGCGTTTGCTTCTGATTTTATTCGTTATATTTTATAAAATGTTTATTTCTAATGTAGTAAGAATTCAATCATAAGAAAAATATTAAGTAATTCGTAAAAACTGTTAATAAGTGGATACTTAGGAATTTGCAAGGACTTCCGATTAGAAATTGTTTGTTGCTATGCAGTTCGTTTTGAAGTGACGTCATCGCCATATTCGTAATTTTTAAGATGCACCTCCTGAGGCCTAAAAAGTAAAATTTGCAAGGTCAAAGGTCAAGGTTATCAAGTTAAATCAAGAACTGTGTTTTCTAAGTTTCTCAAAATTGGTGACTACAAATTAATATTTTTTTTATGAAAGTCTGGATATATATTTCTTTAAAGGTTCTACACATATTAGCTAGTGATTATCTATTAAAATTTTGCACCAGTTTTGAGATATTAGAGCTCAAAAACTGAAAAAGGTCAAATTTCGAATTTTTTCAAGCTCAAATTTCAACTTGCTCTAAATTGACCAACCCTTTTTTAAAACTCATCTACAAGTTCTCAGGATTCCAAATCTGACCTCACTTTTGACCTTTGACCTCTAGGTGACCTTCAGTGACCTCTGAAAGGTCAAAAAAGTTTATTTTTAAAATCAATTTTCTGGATTTAAATTAAGGTATATTTAGTCAAAAAAGACATATCGAGGTCTAAAAGAGTAAAATTTGCAAGGTCAAGGTCATCAAACTAAATCACAAATTGTGTTTTCTAAGTTTCTCAAAATTTGTGACTACAAATCAATATGTTTTAATGTAAGTCAGGATATATATTCCTCTAAAGGTTCTACACATATTAGCAATTGACTATTTATTAAAATTGTGCACCAGTTTGAGATATTAGTACTCATAAACTGAAAAAAGGTCAAAGGAGCAGGGAAAGTATCGCAACAGACTTTTGACAGTTGATATTTTTTTGGTGAGTAGTTTCTGGCTGTAAAAAGTAAATGCTTGTGAAAGGCGAATCTATAATCTTCAAGAAAAGTTCAAAGAATAGTTTCCAGATCAATTGGATTATCTTATAATCCATGTTTAATCCATCCATCAACAAGCTTTTTCAAAATACATTCGTCATTTTCACCATCGTCCCTCATTTTTTTACAATTTTTCATGCAAAGTTACATTGGACTTGAACACATGTTTCATCACGTAAAATATGTAAGGAACTCCATGAAGTTTGTTTTTGAGAGTTTTTTGAAAAAATGAACCTCTTAAAATGCATGTTTACAAAAATAATTTAAAAGTGATGTAAAATATGGCAATGTTTTTCAATAATAACATGCATAGGTGGCTGAATTACTCATGTGTGTTGTGTTTTAATCCTGCATTCACTGACTGAGTTAGCCTATTGAAAAACCATAGAGATTAATAATACAAACAGTAATACTATGAATACTTCTACTCCAAGCTCCAATAGCGCTTTCAGGGTCCTGTGTTGAAATACTAGATCACCTTATGTGCATGAATTTTCAAGAGAAACCATCAGTGCAAGCAATTAAATGAAAGCATCATCCGAATATCACTTGAAAAGTACTAAAGTGGTGAAAAATTGCAGGATGTTGACAGAAAATGTGCCTAGGGGAGAGGGTCGTCTCTCAACCCCCCCACCCTCCCCCCCTCCCTGGAGAGTTCTTGTTTTGTTTATGTAATGGGTGAGTGGAAGACCCTTCGGTGGCAATCAAATATAAAATGTTTTCTAATATATATATTTAAAATACTTTGTGTATGTACAGTCACAAACGCTAGGCAACATTATCTAGTAATGGGGCAACACCCCAACTCAATTCAGTAAATGTGTGGAACAAAAAACATTACATAAAACAAACTCAGCATGCAAACATGTAAGACTGGCATGGTAAAACAAAAGATTGTGAAACTGAATAATAAAAGCTCATACGACTAGAAAACAAGGGATTAAGGACCTGTTAAAATGACATGAATGGGGATTGGTCAATATGAATAGTAGAAATATAAAAAATGTGAAAATTTTACATTTAGTGGAGAGGTTAAGCTAACGATGTTTTTCACAACGTAACCGTGAACGCAAAGTACAAAAATTAACAAAGGAATGTATCGAGCGCTCATAGTTTTATGCGCGCTTAGTCTACTTCAGATACTCTTTCAGCTTCAGAGTTTCGGGTTTAGAACGGGAGATTTGAAATTTGACGTTGGGTCAACGGGAACCATTTTACTCGTGTCTATTAAACACTATGCTGTCAATTTTGATTTCGATGCACAGTTGAATTTTTGCTGAACACGATGATGTATGTCATGCATGATTTAGCGCCAAAAATCTTACGAAACGAGCTCGTTTAAAATATGTATTAGAAAACCAGCTATAAAACCGCATCAATGACATACTATAGAATCATTACACGCTATGGTAGTCTAAACAAACACTGGATTTGAACGGCTATTTATATGAGAAGGCTACATGCTTTGTATATGGTCGAGTGATACGTACAGGTTCAGTTTCGATTATATATGCAAAGCTTAACCTCTCCAGTATTGATCATGAACATTAGAGAGGTTAAGTACACAGGCTCATAGCCAGGTAGAGGGGGAAAGATAAAGGGAGCTGCTGCTCTCCCAAGAGATTCTTTCAAAATGATGCAGTTTCTCACCAATCTGAGCACTTTTCGCATGATTTTTTAGCCAAAACTGTCAAAAAGTTCCTCCCTAGGCAAAAGCTTTGCCCTTGGTAAAATTGCTCCTACCCCTTGGTAAAAGCTGGCTACAGCCTGTGTAAAACACTTGTGTGAGAACTTGAACGTGAACGAGTACTGTTATGACCCCCAGTAATGTTGTCCATCTCTCAACTGGTTTAACTGGGGACCATTACATCAATTGGCATTATATCAATCAGGCAAAAAGAGGCCAGTGATGTGAAAATAGCCAATAGCACGGTGTTATACCATGACGGTTACGCCACCTCTGAAAACGAGGTTGGACAGCTACGTTCACTGATTTATCCAATAAAATGGCCGCGATGGAAGAGAAAACTAAGGTTGGCGCATTATTTTCTACTTCTGTGTATCAATGAAAGGATGAACGATTTATGTAAGAATCGCATTCGGTGATACATTCAGTAATGTATATTTTGAACGTAGCCTTTGCAAATTGATGCCCGGGGATAACATGAAATAAGAGAAAAACTGTCGAGTTTGAAATTCAAAACTACACAAAAGTTTAGTAATTTGTTTATTTTTGTTGTTAGGGCATGGTCTACATTGCCTAAAAACCTTGTGGTATATAGATGTTACCTACATACGATCATACAAAGCCAATTGAGCATTGGAAACGACCTAATATGTTCTACTCAAGCCATAATAATGTATTTTGAATTTGCGGTACAGTTATACACAGTTTACTTTACGTTAATATTTTGAGTGGCTCATGTACTGAGAAAACACGAGAATGGACCAAAACTTTGATATCTCAGTCGGTAGGTTTACAGCTTATATTCTGTTTCTTGTAGATTTGACCCAGTCTTTATAACCATCCATATATACATCACCGAATGGAACTAGTTTAAAAGGAAATCGTATCTGTGAATATTGCCTACAGGCGAGAAAGAGGACATGCTGCCTTTCCCATCCGCCATTTTTTGTTATCGTTACCGCAAAATTATTTTGCAAATCGCCTTGACGTAACCGTCATGCTATAGCACCGTGTATATGGGACCATAAGTTTACATATTCCATGAGTACGTTCATCAAAATAGTGCGATCTTAACCTCCCTAATAACTGAAATTGTTGGCTCAACCAATAGAATCATTCTATGTTTGTTTATATTTGTTCACATTAATATGGAAGAAAATCGGACATTTTGCTAAAAAGATGTTATAGTAAATCTTAAAAATAATGATAAAGGTAGTATACACCACACACTCAATGGTATTGATTGTGGTTTTCAGAGACTCTCAATAGGGACTTTAAGCTTGCAATGTTTTTCACAACCTAAATGTGAATGGAAAATATTTAGCGATGCATTTGTATGGGCGATTGGTCATAGGTTGGCGTTTCGATTTAAAATGCAAGCTGAATCTCCCTAATGTTAACATTAAGGTAAGAGAGTGTATGTTACTCATAACATTTTCTTAGGATAAAATTTCTTGAATTGATGAATGTGCAAAAATTATTCTTAGCATATCATCCTTCATTTCATTATTTGAATAATCAATCTGGAGATATACTCAAATAAGGAAGTGTGTTATAACACATCATCATATAGAAACATGTTCAATGTTTTTTCAGAAGCTGGATCAAAATATTTGTCTTACTAAAATTAATGGCAAAGGTATGATGTACTAAATTCTTGTACTGTATTTATGATTTCAATAGCACTGTATACCTCGTAAATCATTACTGATAAACAAGATACAGAAAACCTGTTCAAAGAAAATGCTATAATAAGGGCATCATAGAAATTATCATAAAGATAGGTATTAAGAATTTCTTAGCAACTTACACACACACACACAGGTTTAGCTGCACTCAAACATTAAACAGTCAACTTGACAGGTATTCAGAATTGTTTGGGAAATGCTGAGGTTATGCTCCATTGATCAAACAGGGGATCAAACAGCAGGGGATCAAACAAGTCCAACCATTCATTTATGAAAACATTTTGAACTTATGGCACACTAATGACATCTTCACTCTACTATACCTTGCATTTGGTGTTCATGAGCAACTCATTTGGCTTATTAGTAATGATTATGTATTTGTTTTTATTTGTCTGTTCCTTATGAATGGTTTATCGGTTGAAAGTTTGATGCTAGTAAGGCACTTTCAAAAATATATTAAACAATTCAATTAGACAAACAAAGTATCTTATGCATTTCTAGGTGTTAGGTATAGTAGTGTGATCTTATATGAGTGTGCTGTACTAAAAGCATAGCCCCATTCGATCCCCTTATATTGGATTATCATAATCCTAATCCAGAAGGAGTTCCTTATATATTTTAAGTGATGAAACATGTGTTCAAATACAATGTAACTTTGCATGAAAATTGTAAAAAAACTTAATTCCTACAAAAGCTAGCAATTCATTCCGGAGGTCAACTATTTTGAATGGAATAAGAATATGGAACAATTTACACCTTGACATGAGAAGATGTCAACCGATATCACGCTTCAAAAGATTAGTAAGAGATTACAGGAGCCCTGTCTCCATGCTACCCACTATCAAATTGGTAAACAAAATGCTTAGATATGTTGAATGTGCTTTTAACAAACTCAGAGTGGGTCTTCTTTTAAAATCGCAACTATATGCTCATAATTTCACCAGTGTTAGTGATCCCTTTTGTAAATGTGGATTACCACAAACACCTTCTCATTTTATCTTAAAATGTCCTCTGCTTGTAAACGAGCGTGAAACTTTATTTGCAGGACTGCGAACTTCAGATCTTCATCTTTTGGTTCAGAGTTTGAACACAGTTGACAAAATTCAGTTTCTTTTGTATGGTCATGAAAATTTAGATAATTCATTAAATGAAAAATTAATAGAACTAATGAGTCATTTTGTGAATCAAAGTTTGAGCCAAATTGATCGGTTTGGCTAATTTTTGCATGCATGTGTTAACTCATCCCTGGCACATGGGATTATAGTTTCTTATATGAGTTTTAACAAACTTTGATAATTTTTTTTTAATTTTATTGTATTCCTATTCATATTGTCTAATATTGCCGCTAATGTTTTTATAAAAAACTTTGGCAATCAACTGCATGTCTGTTATCGTTTACTAAAGGAATACATTTATGTATAATAAAAAAAGATATAATTGTAAAAAAAATGAGGGACGATGGTGAAAATGACGATTGTATTGTGAAAAAAAGCTTGTTGATGGGTGGATTAAACGTGGCTTATGAGATAATCCAATCGATCTTGAAACCATTCTTTGAATTTTTCTTAAAAATTATGCATTGGCCTTTCATATGCATTCATTTTTATACAGCCAGAAACTACTAGAAAAAAATTATTTACTGTCAAAAATCTGTTGCGATACGTTCCCTCCTTCTTTCGAAGCTTTTCAAGACTAAATTTCAACTTGCTTTAAATTGACCAATTTCTTTTAAAAAATCATCTACAAGTTCCCTGGAGTTCATATATGCCTACGGGGCCTCCTTAAGATTGCTTGCAATCTTTGACTTCTAGTTTTATAATTATTTTTGAAGTTTAGCGTATTTTGAAAACGAAAACACCTTCGAAATCAAGCATGTCCCTTAGTCAACTGCTTTGATTTTGATGACCGGTCTACGTATACATTTAATCTGACCCAATGTCCAATGTTATCAACGTCGTTTAAAGAGGTAAGGCATCTGACATTTACATAGGACGATTGTATGTAATCACTAGCTATAATCCCCAGGTCCAAGTTATTTTTTCCAAATTTAACTCCAATAAGTACAGTTATTTTGTACAAAATAAAGTCCGTTGTTAAAAAGGATCCATAAAGCTGTATGAAAAATGTCAAAAGGTGGATGCCAACAATTTAAAAATCTTGATAACGCAGGGTAAAACTTAAGTTAAGGAAAATATAAAATACATCTTTTCACAAAAATTTACCACTTAATTTTTCTCTGCACCTGCAAAATAGTGGTATACTACTGTACCAATTCGCGTGATATTCATTTTCTTAATTTAGCTTGTCCAATGGTATGGTTTCAAATCTTGGCTTACATAACATAAAACGCGACACTACTCAAACATTATTTAAAAACCCTAAATTATATAAAACAAACTGACGCTAAGTAAGTTAGCAAAAATTATTATTAGATGATTATAAATGACATTTGTACGTTTGCTAATAAAATAGATTATTTATCATACTTTTACCTTTATTTTACCCGTCTAACATGTGCTGTATATGCATATTTAATAAGATAAATGTTTCTCGCTTTATCAAAATCATGTCTAATGACACGTACTAACGTGATAAATGTTATACATGAAAGACATCTAATAAGTATTTATACGTTTTATTTAAATTTATCAATGTCTTTGTAGGTAAGATACGACATGAACTATGTGAATCTTTGTTAATGATTTGAATTTATCAGGTAGATCTGAAAGCAAGTTATTTTACCAATTGTTTACGTATCGTATTTATATAACGCAATACATTTGGGGCATGTATCTCTTTGAATCAAATACATCAAGTCCTTTTGAAGGCTAAATCCTAGCATCATCATATCAATCTTAAGATATATTACTCGACATATTGCCTTATTTACTTATTTAGTTTAATTTACTTATATTACTTTACTTATCTTTTTGTATATATCATCAAGATATTCAAGGATGCATTGCATTGTTATGTAAGCATCGACGATTCGATTACTTCATTTACACATTTCAAATTAAAATATTTAATTTTGTTGTAGATATGGGCAAAAGGAGTGTTATCGATATGGTGAATTTTTTGAACACGCGTTTCTCTTAGACCATTCATAAAAACATTTTGAAAATTTTACATATCGTCAATTTAATGGTCATCTTTTGGATGGTTACACTATAATTTGAATTAGATATATATATTCTTTTCTCTATATTGTTTTGGAAAACACATCAGACACTTTTTTTGTTCTTGGTATTATATGTTTGGAATGAAATGAAACATCTATCCGAACTTCATTGGAACAAAACGACATAAATACAACGTGTTTAGGTCTCTCAATATTGTAATTGGACGAGGGGTGATCAATAAGTAATGGACGCTTTTTTACACAGATGCTTTTTAGAGACCAATCCCTTCGATTTTCTTACCAGTGATTCATCATTCAATTATCTATCAACTCTGAAGATTTGAAGGCAAAATATATCATACATGTTGATATATCCTCATATCTGTGAAGGAGGTACGGGAATGTTATATATATCTAATTCAAATTATAGTGTAACCATCCAAAAGATGACCATTAAATTGACGATATGCACCCCTCGTACAAAGGAAAGTTTGTTTGATTTTAAAAAAGTATCTTGTTAATGAAATAAAAGGTTTATCTTAATTTTTATCTATTTTGGGGGGTTTGTTTAAGTCTTTGCATACTTTTTGTTAAATCAACAAAAATTTCCTTTGTATAAACTATAATATTGAGAGGTCTTTGAAAATGTTGTATATGCTATTTTGTTCCAAGAAGGTTCGGAAAGACATTTTATTTCATTCTCAAGAATCGGTAAAAAGGAACAAAAAACAATTGCACTAAAAAAATTTAACAAAAACAGTTATATAAAACATATATAAATATTTTTTTTCATAAAATTGTAGCCAATCAGTCAACATTACATAAAGGACCGTGTTTCTTACAGAATGTTTTCAATAATTGGTTTAAGAGAAAGACATTTTTGAATTCAGTTCACCATATCGATACGATAATTGATATTTTCAAATATAGTCAAATTCTGTTATTCTACCAAAGCCTGCGCCCTGTGTGTTAATATCAGCGACATTTAATATGTGCTATTTTAATGTCAAAACAACTGGCTATCATGAGCATGCGATATATACTGAAAATATTGCTTATTAATACAAAAATCAAAGTTTGCTAGAACAAACTCAGACAACATAACAAATAATGATACTTGTGGTCCAATAATTTCCAACTTGTTAATTAAGTATGTTTGTAACCAGCTCTCAAAAGGTATTTGCCTGATATTTCACACTCACAAAAAGAACACGTTTTACCATGTCCATATGATCTGTATCCTCCAACACATACTCAACACATTCAAATTACTAAGAAACTAGATACAATTGAGAATTTATATAATAATCATTTAAATACTACTTTGGATTCGTTTAATTTTCCAACATATTTATTTGAAATCGTATTGGTGCGCAGCTGAAATCTGACTGTTTAGAAGATATAAAATATTGGACAGCAAACCCCAAAGTCACCACAAAAATAGCAATATTTCGTCTGATGTTTTCGTTGTCTGTCATTTAAAGGTAGCACCTAAAGGCACTTTCTGGCGAAGCTTTCAAAAATTTTTCCATCAACAACATATCAACAACGTTAATTTAAGCAATGTGTTGGAGGATACAAATCATATAGAGATAATAAAATGTATTCTGTTTGAAGCACACGATACATTATTTTATGTTGTCTGAGTGTATATAAGTAAATTTTGAGTTTTGTCCAAAAAATCATCGTTAAAGCTGTTTTTAAGAAGTAATAATAAGCAATATTTTCAGTATATATCGTATGGTAATGACAGCCAGTTGAGTTGACATTAAAATAGCACACATTAAATGTCGTTGGTATTAAACATGGCGCAGGCTTTGATAGAATAACAGAGTTTGACTCTATTTGAAAATATCAATTATCGTAAATTTGCCCATATATACAGTATGTTAGCTTATAATTGGTATTCTAAACATGAATGTTAAACAATTTAAATGATATATAGCAACTGTAACTCAGGTAGTGATGTTGATGATTCCATTCATACACACCTATATACAGGATGGTCGAAAAACGGCAACCCTAGATTTTCCTAATATCTTTGTCATTCTAAAAAATAACTCTCTAATATTTTACACATTTGTACAGCATTCAATTTTCTACCAACCTACCATATTCCATCAGACTGATAGTCACATTATTACTGAAATTTAAGCAACAGGCCACAGATGGCCACTTTCGGGCTGTCTGAGCTTGTCTGTTATTCAAATGAACTCCATTTCCAACTTGATGCACTGGTAAACTTTAACAATTATGTATTCTTTGGGAGCCAAGCACTTGATGAAGTAGTAGAGCGGCTCCTTCACACAGATAGATGCACAGTTTAATGTGTTCTCAGAATATAGGGTCCTTGACCTTTGATGATATCAACGGATATGCAATAACTGTCAACTTCAAACTCTATTTTGTGATTCCCATGGAGTTCTTGGGGACTTTAGGTGAACCCAGGGGGGTTGATAGGCAGCAATAGTGGTTCCAACTAGACAGAACCATACCCCATACACCGAATGATGCACAATAATGGCTTTGGGACCACTTCAATGACCACATTATCAGCAGTACAACAGACAATGAATGGGCACCCCATAGCCCAGATATGGCCCCATTTAAGTTTTACCAGTGGGGATACCCCAAAGATAGAGTGTAGGGTAATAACACCAGAAAGACATTTGACCTCAAAATAAAAATCACATGTGTCGTTCAGGCCATACTTGCTGAGGAATGCAGCTATGTTATTGACAGGTTTGGAAAATGTGTGCAGGTTTGCTTACAGCACGATTTTGGAAAACTGGGTCACCTTGTTTAAAGTGCTGTAACATTGCGACTATCTGTCCAATGTTCATGAAATAAGACATCCTATAGCTAGTATGAAATTGAATGATGTACATGTGTGCCAAATATCAGGGCAAAATTTCTAAAATGACAAAGATATGAGGAAAAATTAGGGTTGCCGTTTTTTTACCACCCTGTATTTAAAACCCCAAACTATACAGTGCGTATCAAAAAAACGCAACTGATTGTTATCTCGGAAAAACACAACACTAGTGATAACAGCATTGATTTCATTCTATGCACCATAAAGCCACGTGTCTCCTCTTTACAATGATATATCATTCATTGATATTTGGTCATGGTTTGGCGAGTAATCATTCCATTTGCAAAGT